GTTTGATTGAGCTTTAGGAAACACGACACTCACTTGTATAACCACAGGCAATAATGCTATTGAAATATGGTCACAAACATGCTTATATTAGGTCATGGACAGGCCAAGAAAATGAGTCTAGAAATTCCATTCAGTGTGAACATAATGGAAATCAAATGTTATGAAACTTTTATTTATATTTTCATCAAACAAAGGTGTGTCGGGTTCATGCAATTTATAGACGATATATAGGTCAGTTATTTGTTGTCATTATTCCATAACTTGTAACAAAAGTGTTAGTGGGATGTAACACACAGTGAAACAAGCAGATGGCTTTATGAACATATCTGTGTTGGAGCACTATGAAGCAAATGAGTGGCGCCAAACTGGATGGACTTAAATGTTTTTTTTTTCTCCAATATTATTTAATCAAAACAGAGCTTGCCCTTTTGAGATGTTGAACTCATTACAAACAAATCATTTTAGTCCGAGCACTTGATTGTCATGTAATTTTGCACAGACGTTTATGCTTCCCTGAGGGGTCATGCTCAGGGGATTTTGGATGTCCACTGACTTTTCCAGTAGCGCCACCATGTGGTTTACATTTGTGTTTTTTAGTAAAAAGGGATTTGGTCCAGATATTCTTGCCCCTCAGGATGAATTATAGCCACTTTGGCAATATCTTGACTTTTTATGTACATACTTTTTCATTTGTCCAATACTTGAAGCTTAAACCAAAAGTAGACTTTCATACTGTAAAGTGTAGATTCATCAAGAGTACCTTAAACTGAAGGCCAGGGATCAACTTTGTATTTGTCTTTTGCTCTGGATTCGTGGGGATGTCAACCGACAGCGTCAGATGGCCAAGTAGCAGTTTCTGTTCAAAATATTTTTAACTGTAGCAACCTGAAATCCGGAAACTTATTTTTGACACAAATCCTTGTGGAAGCAGACATGTAGCCACAATAAACTGGGCCTAAATTAGGGGTGGTTAAGTTTTTATGGCAGTAACCCAATGATATATAGGCTACCACTTATATGGGAATGACATACTGAAGACCAATGCCAGACCAGGACTAGACTTTGGGTGGGGAAAAAGGCTGCTGCAGTTGTGGAAGTGAACTCTTGGGAATCTTTGGTCAGACTCTGGAGAATGAATATCCGGTGGCCTTAAAGAAAAGCTTATTTAAAATATATGTTATTTTGTTCATAGTCTACTCTTATCTGTGCCGTATGTTTATATTTTATTGTGAGTGTTATTGCGAGGGCAAACATTACAAACTTCAATCATGAGCCAGATCTCTGGAGCTTTTGGTGTTGTTGCTGTATAATGCATTTTTTTTTTTTTTAATAATGACAAAAAATTGTCACATTTTACCAGTTGCCTGTGTCTGCCCTTTCTGTAACATTGGTTATTTTGCTTCTAGCTAGTCTGAAAATAACTCTTGCTTTTTTGAATGTTTTTGGTAACCTGGCAACAGTAGTCAAGTGGAGAAGTGTCTGCTGCTTTCCTTTGCCAATGGATGCTCTTTTCCTCTGTCTCTCCTTTCTCATTTGCTCTTAATGTATGTCTGAAAAATGAGATAGTAAACTGATATTAAATTGCAGTGGAACACTATGTTAGTTGTTGTTATACATCTATTAAATGCTATGAAATTTGGTTGATTCTCTAGATGACATAGATAGATAGATAGATAGATACTTTATTTATCCCGAGGGAAATTAAGCATCCAGTAGCATACAAAATACAATATGTAAATATTATATGTATATTTTGTGTATATTTGGTATTTATGAAATTATCAGAAGAGACATTTATGTTTAAGTTTTCAGAGCACTCTTATTTTGAAAGCTCTACCTGTCACTTACCTGCAGTTTAAGACTTTAAAACATTGGAAAAGAGGACCCCAGGATAGTTTTCCAATTTGCCATCTTATTTATGATTTATTATAGACGCTCTCTGAACTGTCCACAGATGGATCTCATCATTCACTACAGGAAGCTCCACCATGTGGCCTATGCAACCTGCTGCACTACCAACTCCTGCTGAGGGATGACTGGGTTTGTCAGCCTCTCCAGATATTCCCGCCTTTTCTTTTCAACTCGACACCCTTGTGTTTCTCTGCACAGGGGCAGGGAAACGGTGGGTGCGCTCTCTCACTTCCACATTCAGACAATGCAATAGCCTCAGAAAATGATTACATGTTGGGTATTATTTATGTGAATAACAGTAGCGGCTTTGTCAGACTAAAGGGCAAAATGCTAACATTAACATGCTAACATGCTCACAGTGACAGTGCTAACATGCTAAGGTTGCTGTTGTGTAGACCTCCCCAAATCCACTAAAGTGCAGGACGGTCCTACATATGTTAAATTGTGATATAGTAACAGGTAGTGAACGTTCTACTCAAGGCCTTTATAACGCAGTCTGTTGCCCCACAAAATCCATGCCTTACATTGCTGTTGTGCTTTTGGTTTTAGAAAAGCAAAAAAAAAAGAAAACAAGACACCACCCTCCCCAGTTTTGGTATAGCTCTTTTAATACATCCATGGGAGAAAGCCGAAACTTGACAGACCTGCCATGCCTATGTACGGTGGGTTGCTAAGCCATGATTGGACACACATTGTTTTGGAGGAGGGGTTTACAAGATGTAGATGTTTTGTCCTGTGACTTTGACAGATTATATAAAATGAGCCTCGTAAAATGCTGGCATTATTCAACTAAAACCAACAAACTGCAAAATTTCGATTCTGTTTATATTTCATATTAATAATGTAATATAGCTAAAATAATGATGTCAAATTCAAATGAAAAAGCCCAGTTTGCATTTTTAATTTTCGAGTTGATGTTGTTTGCCAATTTAAAAATAAAATTGCTAAGTTAAGTTCACAGTACATTTTATTACATTTATACAGGATACTGATTATGTATTTTCAAGTTGTCCAAATATACATCTAATTATATCTGTCAACCCAAAATACATTTGTTGATCTGGTGCATTTGTACTATCTACCCTCATACATATAAACAGTAAGTCACTAATTAAATGTGTAGGTGGTAACTGTTCACATGAATGTGAAAAAAAAAAAGATAATGGTGACAATCAAAATCATGGGGGTGGCATTTTTGATTGCTAATTTCTTGCTTGGATTTTTTTCTTGTTTCTCATTCTGTTAACATAAAATTCTCTCAATAAATAATGCAAGAATCTCATATCCGACGATGTACGCATTATTTTTAGGGCAGTCAAGGAAAAACAAAATGTACACCTGCGTCTGGAATGGTCTCTTCCACTATTCTGCAAGCCTCCCCTGAATGAGTCATCCTGCCGGCTCCTCATTGGATAAGACCATGCCATCCCAAGGGATTGCCTTGCAGAGGCAGAAAGGCCTTGCTTCCATTCACAGAAACATTGGTATGCCAGCCTGCTATTCCATTCACATAAAAGACTAAATATTGCATGCTTTTTTTGTCCTCTGCTCTTATCCTCCTTTGTCTTTTTGCCTCCTTTTTTTGATTTGCGAGGGCCTGCCTTTTCTTCCCTGCTTTTGTGTTTGCCTTTTTTTCTGAGAAGAGAAGGCAGACGTGCTGTCTTTTTTTTTTTCTATGTTTGCCAGGCAGGAAAGAGAGATGTTGGGAGGGACTGCAGTGCGAAATCTGCAGCAGAGTGAGAGCGGAAGCTGCTTATGAATGAGTGTCAGTCTTTCGGCTTTGCTAGATGCTCCTGAGGACATTTTACATGAATGGTGTCTGGCTGTGTGCTTTCCGCTACCGGGGAGACAAAGATGCTTCTTTGCTGCTGGTTTTAAGGAGACTCATTGGCTTTTTCTGTTATCCTTTTGGTTGTTTCATTGACCCATCTGCCTGAGAAACATGTCATTCATGTTGTGTTTTTTGAATATCATTCATGTAGTTCAACCTGGACCAATTGCTGTGTATTCTAGTCTAGCTGTGAGATTATATCTGCTTCCTAGTTGTCAACTGAATGTTTTATTCCTTTGTTGCAGGATACTGATGGAGAATTAGTGCTACACATTAGACAAATGGTCTCAAAACAATTTTATGGAAATAAATAGCTTTATTCAGTTTTGCTTTAATGCCTGAGTATAAACATTTTGTGCAGAAACAACAAGTGTATTATTTAGTCATAGGTTTTTGAAAGTACATAACTGAGAACCAGGAGTGATGTCTGCCCATATTCTGCAGCTATTATAAATTAACATGCACAATATATTAATGATGTTGCGTATTTCCAGTCATGTCAAAATTTTCCTGTGTTTTTGCTTTCAGTGATTTATAGAGGTTTATTTTGTATCCTATAAGGAAAAGGACATCTTAATGAAATGTTTAAGTAGAGATTTTATTCTTGAATCAAAGATGTCTATATTTTGGCAGACAATTGTATCTGTAAATTAGGTGTACGCTAGTTTCCATTACTTATTTCATTATAGTCTCTGTGATTAGTTTATTGTCCGTGTCAAACTTTTATTGCAATTTTTACCGGCACATCCATTTAGTAAGATATTGAGTATTATAGGAATTTAATCAGATTATTATGAATAATTATGTTGCTAAGTTAAATAATCAAACTTTCTCTTGTTCTTCATTTCCTTTTCTCAGAAAAACAAATACGAAGGAAAGAATTACGGGAAATAAATATCAGACTAGGGAATTTAAAAATTGATGGGTTCTAGTGTGCTGTAAGTGGGAGTTTTTTTTTCTCCCTCCGACAGGAAGTGATTTGCAGTGTTCAGCAAGCCTTTTGTTGAGAAGGTTTTCTCAGATCAGTGAGTCATGCTTTAGCTCTGAGCCGGCAGGCAGGCAGGCAGGCAGGCAGGCAAGCAGGCAGGCAGCAGTCAGTAGAGAGTATTTGCTCTTCCCTCGCAGTATCCGTGATCATCGACAACATAGACCTTTCTCTGTTCTCTTACTTTTTGGATTTTTGACGCCAGAAATCAGTAGCAGCAGCAGCATCACCGCTGGAACCCAAACAAGCTGCACCACAACACTGGCAGCCTTTTAGGGACCTTTTTCTCTCCATCCTCTGCTTCCTCTGCCTCAGTGCTGTGTTTCCATGGATTGTGTCTGTGTATTTCTCTCTGACGGATTGGATTGCAGCTCTGGATTTCATTGAGAGCAGATTGGACTTTGGCGACAGCAGCAGCAGCAGCTCAACACATCCACCACTGTAACCTCAATAGAGAAAATTACAGTCAGGTGGCCTGTGATTGCTAAAAGGCGTTTGCTGCCTGTACCGCTGCTGCTATGTTACAGGAGAGGGTAATCAGCACGGCTCAGCCACGTCTGCCAGCACACTTGTGAAAGAGGCAGGCTGTGCGTGTTGGTTGGTGGAGAGAGGGGAGAGAGCAAGAGAGAGAAGGGTATGCTTCACCGTACCAAATACAACCGCTTCAGGAATGAGTCAGTAACATCCGTCGATGAGCTTCTCCACGGCCTGTCCATGAACCCCAAGGTCTCGGCCAACCCCCAGTCTGCAGCCGAGACATCTTACACACCCCCGACTGAGGTCCAGTCCTCCTCCACCACTACTGCTTCCAGCACCCCCACCAGCCACGGCTCTGACCACCTGGAAGATGGAGGCACCACCCTCTGTACACTCATCAACAAGGTGTCCAGCCTGAAATTCAGCAACTCAGGCAGCTTGCTGGGCATCAAGGGTCTGCCCTCGGCTGTCAAGGACCTGGCTGTGTCTAAGCTGCAGGTGGGTGGGGGATCGGGCTCAGGCAGCTCCAGTGGCCCAAGCCCTGGTGCGGCGACAGCAGCAGCGGCAGCCTCTGGTGTGGGCGGCTCTCTGTGCAGCTCGGCCTCCCATTCAACCCCCTGCTCACAGCTGGAGCCAGCCGTCAGCATGAGCAAGAAGAGCAGGCTGGATGAGCTCCAGCCTGGCAGAGAGGACTGGAATCCAGGTGGAGGTGGTGGACTGGTGAACAAACCCTCCAGAGGATGGCTACACTCGAGCGAGAAGATCTCTGGTCCAGGAGTGACATACATTGTGAAGGTTGGTGGTCCCTCTGTGTCATGGTGTCTCCATTTTTGTCCTCTGCTTCTTTTCCATTCTTCACCCATTCTCTCTTTTCTTTCAATGACTCAAGCTTAGCTACCTGCAAAGGGGAGATAATGTAGTTTTATTGGCACATCACAACATGCCCTTGAGTGGGTGTATGTAGGGTGGCTAGAGCAGAAGGCTGAGTGAAAGAGCAGCGACCAGAAAATAGATATTGAATAATTCAGGAAATAGAGAAGGTCAACATTGGAGAAAAGCAGAGGAAAAACCTGTGATTGGAAAACAAAAATAGCATTGATATAGCATTTTGAGCATGCTGTAAACATTTCAGTTTACAGTACATTTCTGTCTTTGGAGCCGCAGCGTTATGCTTTTGTAACCATGGTGATGTGTTATTTCTGTACATTGTGCATCTCTATGAGCTGTACAGCTGTTTTAGCTCGCAGATAGTGAAATGGTGGAATAGAAAAAAAAAAAAGACATGCAGCGCATGTTTGTCTCATCACATCCATATCTCATGTTAATGTCGTTCAGCCATCATACATCATTTAAAGGAGCACAAGTTGGCGCACAACTGCGAGAGCTGTGAATGTCATCATGCCGGCAATGAGTCACTAGTATGAGGAGTGATGATGCTGAGCCCTGGCTCTTCAAGGTGTAAAGTGAATGAAAAAAAAAATGGAACAAACCATTTTTACTGATACCGTAACGTAGCAGTTAAGTGTGCATTTGACTCAACGTTTCTTTTATTTAAGCAGCACATTAAACGCAACATTTAGTTTTTGGGTGGCTGAAAGAGCATACTGAGCATCATTGCGTGGTGACATGTGTTATATTCCAAATCAAGTTACATAGTATGATTGCCATCATATGACACCTACTACAACTTGCCTGAACAAAGCCTACTGTATCTGTGACCAGCGTGACATTCCATTAACTGCATTAAGGACAGGAGCACTTATTTGTCCAGTCAATGCTGCTGCCACACTGTGAGAGGGGAAATGGGTCCGGTCTGTGCTCCCCCACCCTCTGCTTTTCCTGTAGTTTGAGTCCTGTGTGTATTGAGTTCAACGTGGTGTTATGCTCACAGCACTTTTAATTAGCGTCATGTGGTCACTCTGCGCACATCATGCACCATTACTCTAAAGGGACATTGATTGACAGTGGCACTGTTTACACTCACACTTTTAGCCCATGGTAGCTATGTGTTTATGCAAAAACAAAACACACGTTCAGTCTAAATTTTGCCCCACAACAAATAGCTATATGAGCTAAAAACCTCAACAATAAAGCTCCGTAAAGCTTAGGGAACTGCAAATTTGGCAATCCTTTTTATAAGCAATCACCATTCTGTTAGCATTGGTTAGTGTATTGTAATTCTTTACTGCTCATCTTATAATCCATGCCTGTGCATCATCTGTATGTGGTGCAAATTTTTCTAGTCATTCAACATTTATTAATACTCATTTCATCAACCTATTTTATTTAGCCTGTTGATTGAACAAGTGATTTATCCTCTTGACCTGACATATTATTGTACAGAACTGCACAACATAATTGTGGTACAACAAGTTTTGTGACATCTTTAACCTGAGTGCAACTAAATGATATGAAACTTTTTATATTTGGAAATAAACTAAATGTTTACATTTATAAGCACATCTAACAGCTATAGCCAGTGTGATATGACTTAATGTTTCAGAAGGTATGTGCCTGTTATAAAGCCAGTACTGTGTAATACACATTTAGGTCTGTATGGTTTTGTTGTGTTGTTCACTGGGATCATTTATGGGCACTTCAGAGCTGGCCTCCCATTGATTTTCATAATTAATTTGAAGTTCAGTTTTCCTGTGTGAACCATGTACTTGTTTGTTGTACAGCATGAGAGAAAATGCCTTCATGTTGTGCTCAGAATAGGTCCATACCAATTTTAGAACTGTTTAATATATTTTTGGCCCTGCTGAATTGTGCACTTCAAACTCACCGTTCTAAAAATAGATAACATTAAAATTGTGCAAACGTCATGTTGACAAAATGGTATTTGTTTGCTGGTACTTGCAAAACGCTCACTGGAGAGAAGGGGCTTCATAATATGAAAGTTATGATTCTAATAACTCACTTCTCTCTGAAAAGGAGTGGAAATAGAAACGCTAGTGTGTCTGGATGTCTGTTTTGTTTACAGGCAGATTATGAATGTGATTCTGATAACAATAGGAACTTGTCAGCACAAAATGTTCTGTCTGTGCAACATTAATCAGAAGAGGTGTTGTAATGTGAGTAGGTGGCTGGTGCTGAAGATGGTTTTATGGGATAGGACTACAGTCACCTTATGTGGCATAGTAACACACTGATGCACTTTCCAAATCCCTTTGAACAAGTTCTGACTTGATGCTTTATTCCAACTTTGCATCAACTTTGTGTCAGACTCCTGCTAGAGGTTTTCTATTTTCAACTAGAAAGTAGAAAACCATGATACCAGCAAGTTTATGAACACACATTTTTCTGATGCAATACAGGTTTATGTCTTATTACACTCTTTATATCTTATTGTACATGCAGATGAAGGTGGGTTGAAAGTACAATTTTATATTACCAACTGAATATTCAGTCACATCCCTTACATAACCATTTATAAGATTAGTAATGCTTATTAAATACTTTGTACTCAGAGTATTGGGTATTGCAAAAAGCAACTTAAAGTTACCCTGTGGAGTTTTATTGTAAACAAACAAATGCACTGTATGTGTTCTTGATGCATAACAATAGAAAAAAGAACAAACTATTCATGCATTTCTTTCCTCATAGGACATTTGCAAAGTCTCTATATATTTCTTCAATCCGGCATTGTTTACATCCATGTTTGCTAGCTAGCAGCCTTCTTCTGCATTGCCTTTTCTTGGCACAAGTATCTTGGTCAGTCTACGAAGTATTGCGAATAATAAATTAACCCATACACACATAAACACTGCTCCATAGCGCTAGTAGTGGTCAAAAACTCCACAGGGTACCTTTAAATCAGAGATTTTTTGAGTCTTAAAACAAAGAAAGCTTTTGTTTCAAAAAAACAGTATTACTGAAAATGTGTATGTTACTATGGCAACTGAAGTCCTGACACCAACCTGCTAAATGGCAAGTTCAATTGATCCTAACCCCTGGTGCCAGGCCAGTTTTCAGGCTCCAACTCTCAACCGGGGGGCTCAACCAGTATTACAAAGTTAAAAGCACTTTAGACAATTTATTGATGATTTTAAAATACAATACATTTTATTGCTGCATTTTTTGTATTTTAATACAACTAGATTTGTCTATGAAACTAGAGATTGTAGAGATATTTTTAGATAAATATCTCTGGTCGCATTGTGAAAAATTAGGAGCACCATACAATCTTTAAGATTAAACCAAATGGAAAGGGCTACAAGATTTCACTGACACTTACAGTTAAAATGGAGAAACAAGAAATCTATATGGTATTGTCTCCAACATACAGTATGGAGGTGGTTGTGTCACCTATATGTTTGCATAATCTAAGTGATTAAGTGCCTGATAAGAGATGTATTTTTTCAAGAAAAAACAAATACATTTTTTAAGTCTGTATTGTAAGTTGGCTAATATTATTTACTGTTATAGCGTACCTATAAGCAATTTATCCTAATTTCCAATACACATGATCAGTAATCCAGATCTTAACCCAAGTGTGTAAGATCATACATTTAACTTTAAGACCAGCTGCCTTTAAGTTCATACATGTGCACAACTTTGAACAACTGCGTCAAGTTGGATGTTAAAGTCCAACAAATCAGGTGTGTTTTCTGTACACGATGATGTGCCAGTGATGAAAATCTGAATGAATGCGTATTTTATGTTTTTGCTTTCCAGTATCTGGGCTGTATAGAAGTCCTCCGGTCAATGAGATCTCTGGATTTCACCACAAGATCACAAATTACAAGGTATGTTTGCACTTATTTTTCTGACGTTTCAGGATTCATTTGATTTCCCTTTAAATGAATCAAAAAAGTTATTAATCCATTTGCTGATTTAAAGATTTAGAAGTATGTGTGAGATTTGAAATGTAAAAATATCTTATTTAATGGTGCATGTTTTGATTCTAATGCAGAAAATTTAGCAATATAGTTCTCAAACATTTCAACACCATTTATTGTGTACAGCACTTTAACCTCAAAGAAAAAAAAACTTGCATAGGTTAAATTAGCTATTTACTTAAATTTAATTTTGTCACTATCTTCTACTGACACCTCCGAACAACGAGCATTAGCACATTGACTGTTGTATCTCATTTGAAATTTTGTTGAAATTAAATGTATTCTTGTATAAAAGTTAATATACCTCTTACTACAAGTACAACACCATCATTGCTATAAAAAAAAGAGCCATGGTAACTAAGAGAAGTTAAAGGTCAGCCTGAACCCAGTTTCATATCTATTTTGTCATACCCTTTCTACTTTAAATTGTAACACTAATGAAGATCTACAGTTTAGCTATCTTTCCATCAAAAGTTATATTACACAGGCCTCAACTTTGTTGTGAATTAAATTTTATGTATTCATGCCACTTAAATCCAGAAAGAACTGTTTATACCAGGTGGAAAAACACTACCCCAAATATACTAATGCAGCATTTTCTAAATGGATTAGAATAGCACACATTCAAGCTGAATGTCCAAATCAGTATTATTTTATGTTTATATGATCTATAACGCTAACTATTATTTCAACTAACTATACTGTTATTATGAGATTATATATAACTGTTTGCCATGTCTTGAATACAATGGTGACTCTACAGCTGGTCCAGGCAAAAGAGTAAGAGTAAATCTGGGGGCAGAAAAGCGAAAAGAAGAACAGCAGAAAATGTACTGCAGAACAAATACAGAAAGCAACAGCAGAAACGGATGAATATGAAGTTGTTGCACTGTTGTTAGTAAAACTTTATGGACTATATTATCAGTTCAAATTGGTCAGTGAAAATGTTTGATGTAACCAAATGTGTCTAAACCAAATCACCTCTTCTAAAAATGGATTTAGGTTGCCTGTTATCACAATTTGTTTGCAGGGAATTTTCTGACTCCATGTGTATCTTTGAAATCATTGACCAATGTGCAGTGAGGCAAAGGCCAACAGTGAATCGGTTTGTGTCATGTCCACTTTTATGCTTGACTTCCTGAAGTCAGTCCAGACTAACGTTAGCTTGCAGGGCCACACAGCGGTAGGCTCTCTCAATGTGTGTATGTGTGTTTCTGTTCTTCTTCTAATAAAGAGAGAGATGGACAAATAAAGAGATAAAGCTTTATATCTCATTCTGTTGCTATTATTAGATTTATCCTTTTCTAAAAGAACCTACTGCTGTGTGGGATTTATCCATGTAGAAAGGATACAGAAATTAACGTTAATGTGAAACCAATATTCACATTGGAATATTCACTCAGATCCCTCGACTTTTCTGCATCAAAGAAGCTCTATCTTTAGCCACTATTCAAACCACACATTGTTGTCTTTTACATAAAAATGAAGCATGGTGATGATGGCCACTGCAGGTAAAACGGTTCATTTCCCATCTTAAAGACAGTTTTAGATTTCAGTCTGTGATGCGTAGCACTGTATAACAGATACAGTTGCGAGGTTTCAAGAGGTGCAGTGCGTTTGCAATATTCCCTATGGCACCATATAAACCACTCTACACTGCATATTGAATCTTGACTCATGTCTCTTGTGCCCAAGGTGATTTCATTTTATGTGTAACAACCTGTAGAGTTCAGGCATACTGTAAATACAGTCTTTTTGTTTCCGTTGAGTAAAGTGTATTCATTTACTTTTTTGTCTTTTTACTATAATAATACTATATTATTTTTAAGACAATGTAATTACAAGATTTGTAATTAAAACAAGAATATCAAATAATGGAAAACAAGAAATATAGTAAATTAAAATAAGAACAAGGCAGTTTCACATGCCAAGTCTGAAAAACATTAACTTGCACTTACTGTATATCTAGTCAACATTTCATTTCCCAAGGTATCCTGAATAGTCCAATAACTCTCAGATTAGACTGCAAAGGTGAACAGAAGATTTAAACATTTTCATCCATAATAATGAGTAATTGATGGGAAACAATTTAATCAGTAAGAATTGAATCATTATGATTACAAAGCACTAAAATTAAAACACTTACCAGCTCATGTGCCTTAAAATAAAATCTGCCTGACAGTTTGCCTGACAACATCATCCCCTGTACAAGGGGACAATGAATATGAGAGAAATAGGACCTAAAAATCTTCAAAATATAGAGCTGATTCCTCTTGTAGAAATAATTCTCATAACTGATTAAGGAATAGCCTAAATGTTGGAGATGTTTAGTCAAGCTAAAGGTATGGATCTACCAATCCACCACTTTTGTCCAAAATGAACAATCTCAACTACTGGATGGATTACCATGAAATTCGGTATAGATGTTCATGGTCCCCAGGTGCTGAATCCTATTGACTTTGGTGAACCCCTGACTTGGCTTTGTCTATGAACCATGAGGGTGACATTGGCATTTTAAGTGAAGTCTTACAACAACTATTGTATGGATAACTATGAAATTTCCATTGTAATAACTGGTCATCTCTTAACATGTCATCTAACTTTTCAGTTCTTTGGTTTCTGAGCAAATACCTGCAAAACTAATTCCCGTCTGCCTCAGGTGTACTTTGTGTTGAGTGCTAATTATCTAATGTTAGCATGCTGAACATGATATACGTTATAGCTGATAAACATCAGGTCATTGAAAGCATGTAAGCATGGTGATGTTAGCATTTTAGCTGAGTTCTGCTGTGCCTAAATTAAGCCACACAGAGCCGCTAGCATGGCTTTACACTCTTGTTCCTTCAAGATAACAAAATATTATTTTTGTTATCTTGGCAATGTACGTAATCATGACAAGTACCTGTAAATACAGTCTGACTTAATACCAAAATATCTGTGATTCTGTGGTTGTCTATGGTCACCATCTTGGCTTCATCATCTTCTCACCCTCCCTCTAGGGAAGCCATCAGCCTGGTGTGTGAGGCTGTTCCAGGGACCAAAGGAGCTCTGCGGAAGAGAAAGGTACATGGAGAGGGAAAGAGGAGGGAGGGAGATGGAGTGATCACAGGAGAAGTGATGCCCACACTGAGAGAGCTGAGAAAAATGATTGTTAGTGAAAGGTACAGTAGATAGAAAAAGAGGAAACAGCATTAGATATTAATTTACCCTTCCACGTTCTATATATAGCATTGCCTCTGTAAGTTATTTTTCTCTTCCTTCCTTCATGTAAAAAGAGATGGAAAACAGAGACAGACAGAGAGAGGAAGAAATGATGAGAGAGAGAGATTGTACTTAGAGAGGAGAGAGGCTGAGGAGAGAAGAGAGATGAAGAGGTATGGGACTGTATGTGCGTGGGCGTAGCTCCAGCCCACGATGCATTGCACACCGTGCACAGTGCTTAGTGACTCATGTAGTGCACAATATCTGTGATCAGGAGGCTGAGCTAGTGTGTGTGTGTGTGTGTGTGCGCGTGTTTGCTCGTGTCTGTCTTCTGTGTGTGTGCGTGCATGTACGTGGTGTGTGTCCATAGCGTGTGAGGAGACTGTGTCTGAATGTGGGGTGTGAAATGAAGCATTACTCTGCTCTCTAGAGCTTGTTCAAATGTCAGGGAAGAGTATATAACACAAAATCAGTGCCGACTAGTTTCTCTTTCAGAATAGATGTAAGATATAAGATAATGTTATTTTGGCTGTGTGACAAATGCACTATGGTGACATCAGCCTCATACTGAGAATTTTGAATGGGTTTGGCTAATTCTATCTGGCCTCTTTGCCTCCCTCTCCTCATCAAAATCACCTCTCACAACAGAATCTTAAGTATCCAACACTTCACCCCCACCCCCATTATTAGATGAAATTTGCATCTGTAATCAATACAAATATTGAACAATAATGTTTCCTCTGTATTCACGTCCTAGTGGTAAAATTACACTTTACTGGATACTCCATAAAGGAATAGTTGGACATTTTTGGGAAGTATGTTTTATGACTTATTCGGCGAGAATAAATATGAGGCTTATGTATTAACACATTATTTCTCATTTGTTTAATTTGTGCAAAAAGTGTAAAAATGACACACTATTCTTTTTTTTTTTTTGCTTTTCTTTTTAAGTCACAGTGAATAAGCAATAGTTGCAGTTATAGAGTATCCAATAGTGACTTTTAAAGGTACTGGTAGGTGGATTTTGTTACCTTTGGACAGAGCCAGGCTAGTTGTTCCGCCCACTTCCAGTCTTTATGCTAAGCTAAACTAAACTAAGCAGCTCTGTTTGCTAACCAAGTTCTGGATGTAGCTTCATATTTACCAA